TGGCCGGCCCCGCCCCCGGGGCGGGCACAGACGCAGACTGTCACCAAGTGTCACCGCGGCAGCTTTATTACAGGTACAGACACGAGAGACAGGCCGGGAACAGCCGGGAACAGCCGCACAACAGCCCCACAACAGCCCCACGGACCCCGGGGGGGGGGATCCCCCAGCCCCAAACGGGCTGCCAAAAACGGGGTCAATGTCACCGGGATTAATGATAAAAAAGGAAGCGGCGGCTGCGAGCGGAACCGAGTGGGGAAAAACGGGGAAAAAGGGGAAAACGAGGAAAAAGGGAAAAACGAGGCCCGGCCCTGGCCAGGGAACGGGAGGGAGGGAAAAGGAGGGTCCTCCCCAAAACGGAGCTGGGGGAAGCGGCACAGGGAGGAGCCGGGAAGGAGAGCGGGAAGGAGGAGAAAGCTCCAAAAGAGGGAAAACACAACGGGAAAAGGGAAAGGGGGGAGGAAGGGGGAAAAGGGGAAAAAAGGGGGAAAAGATGGAGGAAGGGGAAAAAGGGAAAGGGAAAAGATGGGAGGAGAGGGGAAAAGGGGAAAGATGGGAGGAAGAGGGAAAAAGGGAAAGGGAAAAGATGGGAGGAGAGGGAAAAAGGGAAAGGGGAAAGATGGGAGGAAGAGGGAAAAAGGGAAAAGGGGAAAGGGGGGGAAAGGGGGAGGAAGAGGAGGAGGGAAAAAGGGAAAGGAAATAAAAGAAAAAAGTATATAAGGATAAAACGACAAGGAAAAATAAAAAGGGAAAAAGCATGGAAAAAGGGAAAAGGAAAGCACAAAGAGGGAAAAGACAGTAAAAAAGGAAAGAAAAAAAAGGAAAAAGGATAAATATTTAAAAAGGAAGAACCATGGGGAAAAATATAGAAAAGGAGAAAAATGACAAAAAGGGAAGAGAAGAATCACAAAAAAATGGAAAAAAACAAGTGGAAAAAAAAGAAATCAGCAAAAAGGAAAGAAGTGGAAAAAGAAAATCAGAAAAGAGAGGGAAAAATCAGAAAGAAAGAGGGAGAGAGGGCGAAAAACCAGAGAGAAAAAGGAGAGGGAGAAAAACCAGAGAGAAGAGGGGGAGAAAAAAACAGAAAGAAAAAGGAGAGGGAAGAAAATCAGAAAGAAAGAGAGAGGGAGGGAGAAAAACCAGAAAGAAAAGGGGGAAAAAAACAGAGAGAAAAGAGGGAGAAAATCAGAAAAAGGGGGGAAAATTGGAGGAAAAAAAAAAAAAGAGGGGAAAAAAATAATCCGAGAGCCCAGAAGCCGTGGGGAAGGGCCGGGGCCGGAGCCCCTCAGTAGGGCGAGAACCTGGGCTTGTCCCCCTTGAGTTTGTTAGTGGCGGCGCCCGGCGCGGCGGCGGCGGCGGCTGCGGTGGCCTTAGCGGCGGACACGACATTTAGCGCCAGGAGAGGGACGGGTTTCATGGCAAGCAGGCTGGAGACACAGGGAACGCCGGGAGCGGGGCCGGGGGGG